CATTCTAATTTGTTTCAAATGCAGATAATGCACCAATAAGAAATCAAGATGTAAACTTTAGCGCGATACAGACAATATCCAGTGTTGCTGTCGATGGTGCAATAGCAGAAGACAGTGCTTCATCGGATGCGAGAGGAGGATGGAGTTGCAGGAATTGCATATATTCGAATCCACGTACTGTAAATTGCGAGATATGCATATTACCAAAGGATTAATTTAATAGAGAAAAAAAATTATTTTTACTGTTTAAAGAGTCAAGTATTTATCCGTCTGTGTTTATGTGTATGTTATATTGTGAATTTCATTGAGTTAATGTGTATTTTTATACTGTTAATGAATGCGATCAATTAATGAAGATATTTACTATACAATTGTTAATACATAAAACATAAATTTTAAAAGCCAAATCCCAAAAAATATACAATCATTTATTCGCAGAATTGCTTGATATGACACAACACCCGGAGATTTGGGTGAAGCAGTATAAGCAACATAACCAGATCCAACTCCGCTAGAGCTGTTTAACCTCCTTCTGCTCATCGATTATAACATCAGCAATTCACCAACGCAGCACCAACAGCATTCGTCCAAACAAACAAGAAGTTTGCAATTGGGATTATCTCAAATCCGGCCATCGCCATACCAAACATTAGAAAGCCATCTCATTGTTGCCACGTGAATTTTTGTGATTGGCTTTGATTTCGAGATGATAATGTAGATGGTGGTCCGAAGCCATTATCCACCCGTTAACATAGCAATAAAGGAAAGTGCCCAATACAGGAATCAGATGTGAGAATTATCATAAGTCTAAAAGTTCGAAAAAAGATATGTTTGCAATTAATTATAATCAAGCATCCATCGAAATCTCAATTTTGACGTATAAATTTGAAACGTCACCAAAGTCAACCCAGCCTAGAAATCACAATAATACAATAGCACATCAGAAACATTTTCTTTCTCATCGTCCAACACCCGTGATAATCCTTTCAGCCTCAACACCTGGCCTTGGTCAACAACGCGTCTTGCCAAATTGGAGTAGCAATTAAATAAAAAATCAAGGTGAATACCACACTTTTTATAATACATAGAATTACTGAAAGTATCCATGATAATCATGCAGGAACTCTGACATCAGAGAGCCCATTTGCTTGTAGATGATGTAGAAATACAAACAATAGTTCAAGTGCAAGAAATGCTACAAATTATTCTCCAGTTGTAAGAAAGTAGTATACTCATTGAAGTGGATATGAAGAGTGTTATTTTCTTGTGAATTGCGAACAAATATTTTGTCGCATGATTATTGTAGCTCTATATTCAAATTTCTTTTAAAACTGATGCTTACTTTCATGTAACTAAGGTTTTCTGCAACTAAAAAAACTGGATTATTATTGTAAAACAGCAAATGAAATTAATAAGAATAAGGAGATATCGAGCTTCTTTCATGAACAACTGCAACTTGATAATGAAACATATCCATTTTATTAAAATTAAAAACAAATAATAAAAAAAATGATATGTTATTAAGTAGTCTTGAGAAAATTTGTTTGCAATATATTAAATTATATATCTGTAAATTTATATATATATTCAAACAGTTTTTATAATTCAAAAATAAAAAATGGTGTATTTTTCTCATTGTATATGGTGAGCACTATTATAATAAGTGCACTTTAGAGCAGTCTGAATCTATTTTTGAAAAACTTAACCTTATTAGCATTAGGAAATAAAGCATTTTATGTGCACTTTAATTTTATCTTGTTTATAAACTATAATGTAATAACTTCAATACAACTTTTTATATTTTATTCTTGTAATGGTCAGATATTAGTCCATCCAGTCAGATTGCTTTGTAAATAGTTCCAAAATCTTTGTTTGCAAAATATTAATGAATTTTTCATTCAAAAGATATTGCATGTTTATTAGATTTCACACATGCCATTATTTTACTAGATCATTCAACTTTATAAATTCGAGAGAGAGAGCAGCCCTTATTTCTTAACAATGAGTACATTAACTTCAATGAGTAATGTTGTAATAGTAATTATGATAATTGTGAACTTGACAACGAGTGCATTAAGTATTTTTCCAATAAAATAAATGATGACTTAGACAGAACGTCTTTTAATGACTTCTATTTATACATATGTATATAAATAAAGGATGTGTATTTTATGTTGAAAAAAGAGCCATATTTTTATAGAACTAGTTTAAACAGATGGAGGTTTGACGCATTTGATATACTGTATTAGTATTCAACAAATTGTTAATTAACGAACAAATAGGTGTATAAATTATATCAAGATAATGATAATTCTCTTAACAAGCAATACAATAGATATTTATACTACATATATAGAAATTAATTAAATATCAATACAAGAAAAAATAACTGAATTCTAGTATAATATTGATAAATGAAAGTACATGTAATATAAATTCCTATCAGGTGATTTTTATTTATTAGACACCTGATCAAG